GCCCTCATTCCTCGAGCGCGTCTGGTCTTGCCTGCGCTCAAACGGCGCGGAACAGATCGCAAATGCGGGGTTCAAGTCTCGAAAGACTGGTAGTGTGGCATCAGAAGGATTCTGAAAGTGACGCAATGCGCCTGTGACTGTGGTTCTGGTTGCGGTGGTGGATGGCAAATGTCTATGATCGCTGCAGGCACAGCATAGAGTTAGGAGAGCCAGGAGCCAAAGAGCGTTTGCGTTGGCACTCGTTACGCATTCCCAAGACATTGGCCGCTCGCTTTGATCACTCTGATTTGTCTCACTGTCCTTTGTATAGACAGGCTGTTCCTTGGGAAGGCAAGGTCAACTCAAGTGCCCTGCTGCTGTGTGTCCACGCGCAGAGCATGGCCCTGTATGGGCGCAATCTCCGATCGCACGACGAGGCCATTGGCAATGTGAGGCGCCTTGCGGCTCCACGGCTCATGCATCACTACACACATGCGTGCGCGTTTGATCTGCCGGTCCTGCTTTTGCAAAACGTCACTGCAGGAGCAAGTTGTGCCATTGTACAGCTGCTCGATTCACAAGGCGCTGGAGTACGTCCGTGCTCACCCAGAGGAAGAAGAAGTCATTGTGCCATGCGGCGATTGCATGGTGATGCAGAATGAGGCGCGGCGGCAATCATGTCATTGTTGAGGTGCATGAACCCGGGAACAAGAAAGAGACTATGTGGACCCTGCATCCCAAAGGATTGCAAAGGCTGGTCAGACGGTGCCCGCTCCACGCGAGCACCTGCGCATTGCTCATCTTGCTCACTTTAGAACCTCGACTCCTGCTGCCTCCTCAAGAGCCCTTTGTAGAATTTGATCAAACGCAAAGAGATGCGTGGCTGTTGCAATGTCCTCGGTGAGCATACAGGCTGCAAAAGGGGCGTGACAAAGACACTCACACGGCTGTCCCTGGCCTCCAGCTGCGCCAATTCCCTCTCCAATCTCTCCAAGTCCTCCACCAGTCCCCACAAGAACTCTTCAAGAATCACATACTGTGCTTGACGGTGGAGCAGAATGCCACGGAGGCGTTGGATTTCTCTGCAGGAAGAAGCCGGATGAGCAGGTGTTACTGCGCAATGCATCTCTCTCAAACTCACTCTTGGTCCGCCATTTTGGAAAGATTTGGTGAGGAAGAGGTGCCTCCATGCGCACAGAAGAAGATCTTTATATACGGCGTACACGCACGGGAGATGGATTGGTTGATCCACATGAAGCGCATGCCAGCGTGATTGACTTGGGCTTGATGAATATGCTGCTCCCAATGCGCGCCCCCGCTTGTCCAACTTGATTGATGTTCGCGTCAACAATCTGCCATTGCGTGCGCACAAGCTCCACTCTTGCGTGATGAAGCAAGGATCTGCCATCGTGTACTCGCAAGCTTTACCGCTTGATGAAGCAGCACGCTCCCAGCGGGTGCTATAAGCTTATCACGCGCGCTCGGCCAGCTTGATTAACTTGCGCTCAAAAAGGTCGGCCGATGACCTGCCTGCCAAGACACAAAGACAAGTCTTGCCAATGCGTCTTGTGTACACTTCCTTGGGTGTCGAGCAGTGTTACAATGGTGGGTGTTCTACATGTGCCTCGTCGAGATTACGGACTCCTCTCGCTGTGCAGCCGCGCTATGCTCAGATGCATTGCTCCCGCTCTCCATGCTCAGATCTGAAAAAAGGAGTGGGCATGTAAAGTGTGCAGGCCAGTAAGGTGTCGGACATTGTAGATGTCCGAGGTGTGTGACAAGGCGCGAGCCAATGCCATCCACCTTAGGTAGCTCTTAAGTCCCTGTGATGCTTGATCCAACTACTGTGGCACCAAGCATGTAGCCCTCTGCTCGATGACTCTTGACTTGGATGTGGATGAACGGGTAGGCGTTTGAGAGAGGAGGCGAGGCCGTGTTGGTGGCGAGGCGATGACAACAAAGGACGAGTTGCGCTGTCGACAAGTGATGCGTGACGCGCGATGCGCGGTAAGCACTATAAAGACAAAGTTCATCATCCCTAATTCCAATCTGATTTGCGTCTGCGCAACGATCAGAACAGGCAAGTCGCTGATGAAGTCTGACTCTTGCACAACAATCAGAACGGCCGAGTTGCTGATCAAGTCTGACTCTTGCGCAACGAACGGAACAGGTGCGCACCATCTACATTCTCATCCATCACCCCCGCGCCTCACCATCGCCCATCACTCCGTTCTTGCCAATACCCGTAAACAACAAGTGCAGCTCTATAAACGCTCGTCTCACAATGCCTCTTCGCGACTGGACACAGGAGCAAAACAATGTGATCATGATTTGGCTGCTTGAAGAACCCCGACGGGCAAACTACTTTGTCCACAAGGTTCGCCAAGGACTAGCTCGTGGCGATGCATCTTGCTGGGGTGCTGCTTGTTAGGACGACGCCGATCGAGTTGTCCGTCACACGTGACCAACGGCGAGCTCTCGCACGAGAGTCCCCACCGAGCCACTCGTACGAGAGACACGCCGCAGCCAGGCCACGCAAACCTCGCGATCCCCTTTTGTATCCTTCTTTTCGTGAGGTACTTGTTGACCGAGTACCTCATTGCAAATACTATTCATAACCCTGATTCTATAGACGCTCCGCCAATTACGGTGTAGAGATCTAGACAGACGGTCTATGTAAGTATGCGCGCAGAAGACTAGGTCAATGATGTAACGTAAGCTTCAGCCAAACCCTCGCCGAGCCTATCGTTGACCGATAGCCCCGGCGAACCCGCTACTTCCCACAGTACCGGTATAACACTGCTCTCTACGGGCTCTGCTGGGGAAGATTGGATCCCGACATGCTTCCCAATGAGGCCCTTGCCATCATGAATAAGCACATTGATGTCATGAAGGGCATCGCAATGAGGCTGGATGAAAGCCTATCAGCAGCAGGCAAAATGTACTCTGTTGCCGACCTCCGTGAGAAGGCCAATGCGGCCATTGCAGCAAAAAACGAGGCTCTGGTCAGCATTCTGGATGGTGATCTGCGCATCATCTTTGGGAGAGCAATAACACAGACTTGGCTGCCTGACATGCTCAACCTGATCAGGGCAAAGAAGCGAGGTGAGCACGAGCTCACTGTGGCAACTTTTCGCAATGCCGACAACCTGGACCCTCGTCCTGCGGTGTTGAGAGCCGTTGGCGGATCGGGTGGTGCAGCTTCCGAGTCGGAGAGTGCGTCAAGCCGAGCAACCTCTGCTACGCCAGCTTGTGCAGCCACGGCAAGCTTTTACGACGGTTTGATGGACAATCAGGGGCAGTTGGACACTTTGGAGTCCCATCAGGAGCACAATGACACCTTTGAGTCTGCAAATCAAGGCAATGACTCTCAGGCATCAACTCAGCCAGCAATTGCTCCTCACCTGCCGTCAGCATCTGGCCACCAACTCCCTCGTTCGTTGTCTACAGCTGCTTGCACAACAGGAGACGACATTCATAATGAACGCGCGCACATCTCCAAAATTGTCCAGCTCATGCGTGAGACGCTCAAGGCTGAAGCTGTCCAGCGCAAGGCCGACGAGGAGCGTCGCAAAGAGGACATTGCCCGCGAAGCCATTGAATGCCAACGTGATTGCAAATTGTTTGCTGCTACCATGCTGCAAGCCGTGCGCATGCTGCCATCGGAACCAGGATCATGCGCGCCATCGGTGCCTGCAAGGAGCCAAGCCACTGCGACACCAAACGACGCGATGCTTCCACCTTTTCCTGGTCGGCGCGTGTTGGCGAGCGAGGAAGAGCGTCAAAAAGTCGAGCGCGTAAGCGAGGAAGAGCGTCAAGAAGTTGAAGCGCTCTTGCAGGCATCCGGCCCTGCCAAGCGCTTAAAGCGCACTCCTCTCTCCGTCGAGCCATCAACGCGCCAACTGCGTCCCCGCCCCAAGTCGATGCGCTGACTTTGCGCGAGGCGATACCTGCGTGAGGCAATGACTCTGCCTGCGCGAGGCGACAACTTTCTGCCGCTTGTCGTTAGGCTGCCATACTGCCGCTTGCCAATATGCCTGCTTGTTCTAACGCAGCAAGTCTCCACCCACCTGTAGATATAGCACTCGCGACGCGTCACCCTCAATCGAGCGCAACATGAATCAGCGCGGCCCACTCATGACCCCTTCTTGAGCGTTCCATTGCCATCCGATTTGTCAGTCCCATTGGCTTCAAAGAGGTGCAAGCACCGCGCTGGCGACGCCTGATGATGATGTGAACCGCAATGACAATGTGAACCGTGATGACGATAAGAACCGTGATGACGATGCGAACCGCAATGACGATGCAAACCGTGATGACAATACAAACCGTGATCGCGATGCCTGATGCCGATACAAACCGTGATCGCGACGCCTGATGACGATACGAACCGTGATGACGATACGAGCACCGTGATCACAATGATCGTACTCTGGCCCCGCGCGCGTGCGACGCGCTAATCACGTGATCAAGCACCGTGCGGGCGTGCAGCGTGGCAAAACTCCAGCACTTTTTGACTTGTGTGGGTGCGATTTGTGTTTCTCATCCGAGGCGGTAGCGCGAGCGGTAGCGCAAGCGGCAGCAACAACGCCAGCGAGTCACTCGTGACTACGCATCTGCACCGCGCTGCTGCTGCTGCTGCCATCCAAGCTTGGCCTTTTGCGTACAACGACGATTCTTGGAGCGCTCCGAGATGACCGGGCGAGGGACATTTAGCCAGACTGGAAAGTCGTTGCAGGTAGGTAGCTGCGAGTAGCGCTGCGGAATAGCTTGCTGGGTGAATGCGACGATGGACATGCGCGTCCCAACAAGCGTGTCAGCATTGCGATGCGTGCACAGTGCCGAGGGAAAGATGGTGACGTCCATTGCGCGATTGTGGATTGCTATCCCCACGTCGTCTAGGCACAGCGCTGCTCCAGTAAAGTTGCCCAGCGCAGTGACGACACACAAGCCCCATTGCGCATCTCGCTTGTTGCGGTGAGCAGTCATGCCCGTAGACGTTGTCGGCATGTTGATTGCTGCCAAACACCAAGGTGACATCAGTGCCGCTCGACGTTGCTCCATCTCTTGCACGATGCGCGCAGTCATCACCGAGCGGTATGCACGCTTTGGCGCAACATTGAGGAGACTAGGATGAAGTTGAACGTCGTTGTACTTTTTGTACACGCGGGGAAAGCCCACGCTCATCGCCTCGCGCATGCGTCTCAAGAGACGACCGCCGTCAACACCGTAGAGAAAGGGCAGAATTGACTTGCGGTAATCTTTGATCTCGACATTGTAGTTGGTGCCGTCCAGCGCGGCCCTGCTGGTGCCTGAAGCTCGGAGATGGGCGTGCAAGGCACCAAAGACATTGCCGTCGCAGCTACGAGACGGCTCGATGGGGTGTGCTGGGAGAGAGAGCGCTTGCGCCCAAAGCGAGAGGTTTGTAGTCACCTCTTGAAAGATGATGCGCTGTTGTTGCAGTCGACAACGCAGCTTGTTGTGCTTGGCATTGATGTCGATGACGTTTCTGGGCTTGGCGCGCAAGTGGCGCATCTTGTGAAGTGCGAGGGAGCTGTCGGCAAGAGCGCGCAATGCAGCTTGGAGTCGCTGTTCCGCTGCCAGCGCTTGTGCGAGGATCCGCTCGACGGAGGAAGAGAGCTCGAGCTGCGGTTGCTGCCACATTGTCCCTCGCTTGCGTTTGCGTGTGCTCGCGCTCGCGTCGTCGCTCTCCCCTTTTGCTCTCTCGCGCTCCGGCTCTCTCGCTCGACCTGGCAGACTCCAGCGCTGAGAGACAAAGAGTCTGTGCGTGCGGTCAAAGGCAAAATCCCACTCGAAATCGCCGCCGCGCAAATCAAGCGTGGCGTTGTGACTGGGACCGTTCCATCGATCGAGCGTCGAATTGCCTCGATAGGATCTGGCGCGGTTCACTCGATCCAGCAGTGCCTTTGGCAAGCACTTGCCGGCGGCCGCTTCCTCGAGGTCATACTCCAGGCAAATGGTTGCGCGCACCAATTGACCCTTGATCTGCGCTGAATATACGCGGAACAAGTGACTCTGTGGGGATGGTAGCGGGATGATGGTCCATGGCAACGGCGTGCCGTCGAAGAAATCCTTTGTGAGACGCTCGCCCGACGGCGTGCCGTCAAAGAACTCCTTTGCGAGACGCTCACCGCGCATCACGATATTGGCATGCGTGAGGTGCTCTTTGGCATTCCCATCGAGCTTTGCTAGGTCCACTCTTCCAGCAAGAGCGTGTCTCACAGAGCCCTTGAAAGAGTCGTTGACTTGAAAATTGCGCGTCAATAGTCGGTCTTGAGTTGCTCGAGCGCGCCAACGGTTGTTGTCGTGCGTGCAAAGATCGTGAGGCGGAGGGTCGCCGTGCGAGGCGATGAGAGTGGCGTCGCGGTGCGTCACTCGCGACTTCGCAAAGTCTGCCGTTGACCGTTCGTGAGGCGGCGGATTGTACGAGTCATTGAGAGTGGCGTTGTGCGCTCCTCGAGGAGGCGCAGAGTTGTCCAGCGCGGACAACTTTTGAGGGGTCGCACCGTTGCCCCCCGAGCAATTGAGGGTATCGTCCTGCTTTACTCGAGGGGTCGCGTTGTTCCAGCCGATGAAAGCGTCGTCCTGCGTCACTCGCGAGTTTGCAGAGTTGGCACACATCCATTGCGGGATCGCAGAGTCGTCTCCCGAGCGGGTTCTAGGGTCGCCCTGCGTCACCGCCGGCGGGATCGAGTCGTTGTTGCGCGTCACCTGCGGGGCTTGCGAGCTCGCAAAGTCGTCTCCCGAGCGGGTTCTAGGATCGTCGCCCCACGCAGCATTGTCGTTGTCGCCCCACACAGCATCGTCGTCGTCGTCGCACACACGCACGCAAGCACACAGAAAGGCAGCTCATGTCAGCTCTGCCGACTATAATGGTCTGTGGGCTCGCACTCGCTCACTCGGTACTCGGTACTCGCACAGGCCCACTCGCTTGCTTGCTACCGCTCACTCCTCGCTCTCGCCCGCTCGCATCGCGCGCACCTCTGCAATCCCGCAAAGAATTGTCTCGAGCCCGCTAGGTGTACCCAATAAATGAGCTGTCTGCCAAACATTTGGAGCAAACCATTGAGCACGCTTTGGCCCACCGCCACAAAAGGCAACTCCGACGACGACGAACGGAGGACATGCACCATACCATCACACAGACGGTTTGGCAGTTTCCCCTTTTGAATGAAACAATTCCGGCAAGAGCCGCGGGTGCACGAGCATCCCCTTTTTTGGGAATCGTCTGCGCACGCGGCTCCACAGCAGTACTCGATTCCTCCGTTCAACAGACAACCACCCGTGGCAAAATCGACTTTTTCCTGTAGCGATTGCAGAGCGTCTGCGCGGTGCGAGAGAGCGAGAGAGAGAGAGGGAGCGAGAGCGTGCGAGAGAGAGAAAGAAAGCAAAGGCGAGCAGACAACAGCGCTCAGCGGGAGCGTCCGAGGGAGCGTCGATGGCTTGCTAGCTGCGAGAGATGCGCATACAGCGAGCAAGCGATGGCTTGATGGCTTCCTCGCCCCAGGGATGCATCGATTGTTCACATTCGCCCCGAGCATGCGCAAATCGCGAGCAAGGGATGCGTCGGCGCTTGCTTGCTCGCCCCGAGGGATGCGTCGATTGTTCACATTTGCCCCAAAGGATGCGCAAACCGCCCGCTCGCCCACTGGCCCGCTCCATTCTTCATGTTTGCGCGCGCGGCTCACTTGGTTCGACGGTTGGCAGGGCGCACTGCTCGAGGTCAGACAGATCCGTAAGGTTGCTTTCTCCAGAATCGCTCTCGTTGTTGTAGTCGAGTGTGGATGCCTCTTCTTTGCGGCGCTTGCCTTTGCGCTTGGGAGCAGGCTTGCGCTTCACAGCTGGACGATCAGCTCGTTGAAGCGCGAGCAAGATCGTTGTAACCTGCGGCAAGTGTGGCCGTTTTAGGGCCTCATCGATGCAAGCTTTGAGTGAGGCGTCCATCGCGGCGGGCGTCGCAAGTCGCGAGAGGTGGGTGGGGGGAGTTGCCGTTGGGTGGTTGTACGCAAGAACTTGCTCGTCCCCGATCTGCTCGCACGTTGGCTAACCCTCTCGCGAAGGATTGTTGGTGCGCGCTCTCCTATTGCTCCTTTCCTGCCCCGCCGCCTCCCCATCCTTTCCGCTCCTGCCCTGCCCCTTTGCCGCTGCCATTCTGTCGCCCGTTTCCTGCCCCTCCGCGTCTGTTGCTCGTTTCCTGCCCCTCCACGTCTGCTGCTCCTCACCCGCTGCTCGAGTGGCGCGTCGTCAACCATCGCGATGATGCAGACCCATGCATGGTCTTGCGCTAATGTCGTCGTTGTTCAGCTCCGCTCGAGCGAGGGTTTAACGGAGCGAAGGCGGGCGATGACAACTTGTCGCGCAGATCTGCGAGAAAGGATCAGATCAGCTGGCGGCGGGATCGAAGGAGCTGGCAAGCCTTGACATGGAGCTTGCGTGCATCACCTTGTCGACCGAAATGCGCATATGAACGGCATGCATCCACCGTCATGACTCCTGCCCTGTCCGTGTGGTCGCAAGCTGTCTGACAGAACTCGAGTTCAAGAGCCGTGGGGGTCGAAGCGGTCACAGCAGAGGGAGCAAGACGCGCTCGGAATCTGAAAGGAGGGGTGGTCAAGCACCAGCGCACCCGATGCTTTCACAAATGAGAGCGGATCCCAATGCCTTTGATTTGCTCCATTGAGCGCATACACGTCGCCCCGCCCAACGGCGTCGGTGACGACAGCCAGGGCAAGAGTAAGAGAGCACATTGGACGCCTTCACGACCAGTCTAGAGCATTTGAGCGTGTGCGACGGCGCGTGCGATCGCGGGGCAAAGAAGAAGCGACGTCACCGTCATCTCTCCAGCGCGCGAGACAAGAGCATGCACCCAGAGGAGGCACGTAAAGGGAGCGAGGACATGCGCATCCGTCGATCGCCTCGCTCAGCCCGCCAGTTCGCGCCCAGTGAATGCGATTGGGGAGCGCGTGCGCAGCACGGCGTGTATGCGCTCGAAAAGGCCGTTGGCTCGTCGCTGGACCCCCCCCCTCTTGCCCTCGAGCGCGTTTCGCTGGTCGAGTGGATGCCATCAGACATGCGTCGAGCGACAAAACGGGCCATCCATGTCGTACAGATTCGACAACGCAAAGGAGACGAGGCACGCGCATCGTCAAAATCGGATAGAAGATAGCAAGCGAGGAAGCAAGGCAGCGCGCGTTGCGGTTGTGGATTGGATTCGCCTCGCTCGCGATTCATCTCGGTGGCTGTACCGTTGTACCGCTCGCTGATTGTCGGTTGAATGCGCCGCAATGAAGGGCTACTTTTGCAGGTTTCGCTCACATTTGGCCAGTCGTCAACAACCTGCACTGCTAGAGTGGATGTCAAGCGCACCGTTGTTCGCACTGAGACGCTCGCTTAGCCGTCCGTCCGTGCGCGTGGCTTGTCGGTCGCACTCTCGCATCCCTGGCCGATCGCTCAGTTGTCGCTCGTTGTCGGTCGCATCGCTCACCTCGTCGACGCGGATCAGGCGCAGGTCTGCCCGTCCGCTCTCCATCCCGAGCGCCTTTGTTGGTCGCATCTCCGACGCGCACGCCTGCCATTCACGATTGCACCCTTCCGACCGCCCGTCATCTCATCGCTCGTCGGCAGTTGTTGATCCGACCGCACCCCTCGCCCCTCTTTTGGTCGCATTGCTCACCACGTGGGGACGGATGTGCGGACGCTCGCCCTTGATCGCACTGCTCGTCGGCGTCCATGGCGCGTGCGACAGATCTGTCGGTCGCACTCTCGTCAAGTCGCCTCGTCAATCGACCGATCGCACGCCCGCTCGCCTGCCCGCCCGAACTTTGCAGTTGTTGACCGATCGCACCAGGCACCTCGTCGACGCGGACCAGTCGCACGTCTGCCTGTCCGATCGCCATTCGCCGTGGGTTATCATCTCTCACCAAATGGATTCGTCGGTGGCATCTGCGACGGGCACGCTCACCATTGCACCCGTCCGCTCGCCTCCCATCTCATCGCTCGTCGGCAGTCGGATGATCGCATCCAGCACCTCGAGCGGATCGTCGCCTCGTCGCCTCGTCGCCTTGCATCCCCTCACCTCGTCGGCATTCCTCCCGCATGGCGGGTCACTCGCACGCACACTCGCACACAACGCAGGATCGACAGGATTTGGCAAGGATTCCAATTTCGAGTGCGCTGGGTCTCGGGATGGCAATCGCACTCGCACGTCGATGGCTGTATGCTACGGCAAATGGTGGGGCAGGTGAGCAGAACCACACGCCAACACCTCAGCTTGTGCGGCATGAAGAGACTCACCTACGTCGGAGTCGTACGCTCGTATCGCCCGCGCATCCACTTGCTCGCTCGTCCCGACCACGCATCCATTCTCCTGGGCTCCCATTCGCTGGCTCGTCTGGCCCACGCATCCATCCCCTATCGCACTGCTCCGGATGCGCAATCCAATGTCAGCGCTCGTGAATAGATGGTCATTCAAAGGCAGCGCATACACAGAGGCGAGGTTGCGATCTGATGAGACGATCAACGGATGGATGGAAAGGCAGGCGCACACGCAAGGCGGTTGGTGGAGCCACGTGACCGCAGAATCGCGTCCCAGCACAACTGAGATCGTCTCGGACGTCGGCAGCGTGCTGTGCGGGGGGAGGCATGTGCCAAGGCTTCGCTTGAGGCTTCGCTCGAGGGTTCGCTTGAGGGTTTGCTCGAGGGTTTGCGCCAAAGCTTCGCTTGAGGGGTCGCTCGAGGGTTTGCGCCAAAGCTATGCTTGAGGGTTCGCTCGAGGGTTTGCGCCAAAGCTATGCTTGAGGGTTTGCTCGAGGGTTTGCGCCAAAGCTACGCTCGAGGGTTTGCGCCAAAGCTTTGCTCGAGGCTTTGCGCCAAAGCTTCGCTCGAGGGTTTGCTTGAGGCTCGACGGATGCCTCGACGGAAGCCTCGAGGGTTAGGGTTAGGGTTAGGGTTAGGGTTAGGGTTAGGGTTAGGGTTAGGGTTAGGGTTAGGGTTA